AACTGGGTAGAAAAAAACCAAGGCTAAATTAGACATTAAGGATTATCCTGCTAGGAACAGGCATCTACATTCTAGAAGTGATGCCTAAGGTGCATGACTAAAGTAAGTATTCTGATCCTTACAGACTATAATGAAGAACCCACATGGAAGAGTGGGATGCAATACTAAAAACACAGTAATGTATTACTTTGCAAGCTGCAGCTGAAGATACCCATCAAATTGATTTCCTGGGTTGCAAGTGCCTTTTTGATCACTTCCCACATAACATCAGACCTGCAAAAAACTGCATCACAGAATCATGAATGCCACAGGAACCATACTAAAAAAGAGTCATGGTTGGCAATGAAAAGAAGCACAGCAGAAAGCAAGCACTGGCATTGATTTTAATGAAATTTCTCAAGACCTGTCAAATGAAGAAAGATAATTTTTTTGCCACTGAGCAAAGAGAACTCTTTTCAGATAGAACAACTTCTGAAGAGGTCCTGAAAAAAATCCCGAAGTTGTCATTAAAAACAAACAAAAAAAATCCAACATTTTTTATACCTAGATTGTTAAATCTTAGTTAGGAGCAATTAAGACAGTCACAGAATCTGTTCTACTTTCCATCACTATGGATCAACAGTAATTTTGGTAAAGTTAATGAGCAATTGAAACTGGAGAATGAGTTTTGATCTGCTTTTCAGAAAGATAACTTCCAAGAATCATATGCAATGAGAAGTCACTCAAACTCTCTTACATTAGGAGCTTGTTATACATATTTACATTCAGTATGTTAGTATAAAGGAGAGGTGGATGTTAGACACTGGTCTGTCTAATCCCTGCTTGCCTTATTAGCCCATCTTTCATGGAGACCTTCTGCACGTAAGCTAAATCAAAATTGGTCTTGAAACATGGCTAGATAGGTGTCTGCATCCCATAACGAAGGATATAGTACCCAAATCTCATTACACAATATAACGAAGCAGAGATCAGGAGACCAAGAAATACTGCTCTGTCTCTGACAATCAGATAGAAGAATATTTGAAAGTTAAGCAGTATGGATAAACAAAGATGACACCAATGATAGGTTCTCTTTTACAGCTACAACAATAGGGAAAATACTAAATGCCAGCCATCAAGTGATCGGCATCATTATTTCTGCTACATACTGAATATGCAGTGATATACTGTTAAACATGAGTTAAAAATTTGTATTTATAACCAATTTAACTTCTTTTATCTATTAGCACAAGTATTAACAAATTCCTCACCATAAAAGATAGGGTTAAGGAAGGCCTCACCTGTAAAAAGATCAGGCATAAGAGTTGTGTGTAAATGTGTGTTTTTCACTAAGTGGCAAGGACTGAAACCTAATAGGAAGAGCTCTGTATGAACTGGAAGGTATAAGAAAGCCAGTGACCTATATTTCAAATATTCATTTTCATCAAGTGAATGACAAATTATATTTTAATCTACTAAACTATAGTTTTCACTGAATACCTCCACATACAAGACAAAAAAAGTCTTGCAAGAAGTTAAAATTCTAAATGTATGCTTACTACCCTTTGCAGAATTAAAAAGATACTTCCTCTAATCATCTGTCACTAAAATCAGTTTAATGCTAGTTCAAATATTCTGCATTTAAATCTGCTGAAAAAATCAGATAGCCTAATACTGAGATGCATGTAATTCAAGCATTAAAAGATATTCTAATAAACAACATGACATTTAATTCTAGTGACAAGATATGGCACGAGAATAAGATCATTTGCTTAAATAAAACCAGTCAATTTTAGCTATATTCAGAGCATATGGGCTCCACTTTGATTGACACCTATGGACTTGATTTTTACAGCCATTACAGAAAACGATAGTTTTGCAAACAAATGAACGTGTCTGTGCTACGGATAACGTATCGTTATGAAAATCATGATCTTTTTTGCCCTCATCTTAATGAAAGTTTTAGTCATACCCAGTATGAGAAGCAGTATCATGGAGGGTGTTTGATCAGTATATCAAACCATTAGATGCATCAACATTTCATCATCGTCAGATCTTGTCAAAAAGGCTAAATGATGATCAATATATGGCCTACTAAAAGTCTTCAGAATACCTTCATTTGCATAAAGCATGATTTTTTTTTTTCAAATCAACCTTTCTACCAGAACCACTCCTAAATAAAACATATTGAATTGATTGCTTTTGATGAGCTTTTATTCTCAAATTTAAGTCATGTTATATTCTGAAGGCAAAAGCAGCAATTTCCTTTCAAATCTCTAATCACAAGGGAGATACCACAGTTTCCACACAACTTTTCAGCAAGAACATCAGCTTGGCGTGATCATGCACTGACACCTAGTGAATGCTCTCAGTTAAGAAATACTCTTGCTCATCTTCTAACTGCCTGTGCAGAGCAAATGTTATCAAATAATATCCTACTCATGTTTAGAAGATGCTTCACATATGGACTGTTTCCCCACATTCTAATTAGGGAGACATCAGATGTGTAATACTGCTTATACACAAGCATGAAAGAATTTTTTATGCAACAGTGTATATGCATGCATACATATACATACAGTACACAGTACCTGAACTGTTTGAAAACCTTGTAATTACCTCATTTTGTTTTTCATCCATAATGACAGCACAGTGACTAGTGCAGAGTACGTCGTTGAAACCCACCCGATAAACAAGTTCTTAGAGACTAGTATTTTTGTCAATCCTCATCTCTCTGCCCAGGAGGTCTTTTGGCTCCACACACACAGAAATTGTTTTGTTTCCATTACGTAGCAGACTGTGATGGAGATGATCTGAAAAGCCCTTAAATGTGAACAACACATGCTGAAGGAACAGTGGAGAATGCAATTGAAGGATTTATAGCTGAGAACAATATGAAGTCATTACATCACTGTATTGTCACTTCTTCTAATGCGTCCCTACAGAAGCTAGTTGTTTGAACTATTCATTAAATTTTACATGGAATCACCAGCTCCTCATCCTCTCCACACGCAATGGAAAAGATCTGAGACTGTAACTCACAACTCTTCTTTTTATTCTTTAAGTACAGTTAAGGGATCCCTTCTCCCGACTTTGACACGCTTCTCAAGCACAAAGTCCAATGTAGCAATCATCTCTTAATTCTCACCAAGGGAGCACTGGATAAGTCATTCAATGAAGAACTGCACTGCCTAGCCTTACAAGCAACTCTAGAAACTGGTTTTCTTGGCATGGCGGGGGGGAATAAGCTACCAGATGCTACCAGACTTTGCAGATCCACATTCAAAATTCCAATTTTCCCACTGTGATTTTCTTGAATTCCCAAACATGAGGATGCACAAAAATCATATAAGACATTCTGTATGAGACATTACTGCTAGCTATAAGCTATTATTCAACATATCATACTTTAATACATCCAGGGTACACATGCATCAGTACAGGGGAGAAAACAAGCTTTACCCTATGTGTATGTAACTGTTGCTTTGACACAAGCTATGACGCATACAGGTGGCGGTGCTAGTGAAAAATCTTTCACAGGTGGTTATTTGCATGAAGCTATCACCTAAACACTAGGTTGCCATACTCCCATACACTACCTACCCAGCAGAACTCCATGGGTTTGATGTCTGCAGAGATCTGGGAGCAGACCTTATCACCCAAATTTGTTTTCAATTCACTTCTATATTGCCTTTCAGATGCCATGAAGATATCCTTCTTTGCTGTAGAGGCTTTCACAAAATAAACAGTAGTTGTGTAGTTTACACGTGCCATTTGTTTCAGTAACAGTGCAACATTACCACTTTCTTCGTTGCCAGTTATCACAAGAGTGAAAAATTGAAATAACAAGGATAAAATACAAGTCTGACAATTTGGAATTGACTTAATTTTTCTTCAGAACAGGTGCTCCAGTAATATTTTGCTTTCTTTCTTGAGGAAAAAACAAACAAGTAAAATCTAACTTAGAAAAACGTCCTATGCCCTAAAGGTACTTCCTCTATCCAGGGTTTTCCTGGAAGTCTTTAGTTCAAAAGATCTATGCTGTACTCAGGACAGATCCCAAACCTTTCATTTCCAATTCTAACCTACATACTGAATTCATGCTCTTACCTGAGTTAAAAGTGATTTAATGAGTGGTGACCTATGAGGTTTTACACTTTTAGGCACCCAGCCCTATCAATAACGTTATTCTCAAGAGTAGTAAACACTTTAAGAAGTCTGTAGAAATGGATATGCATAGCTGTTGTCAGAAGCCTTCCTTTCAAAAAGGAATTATACAAAGAAAGCAGTAATAGGTTTTACTATCCACAGCTTTCAAAGACAAGTTTTGGCAATGCATCCAAGTTTTGGCTCAGAGACCCTTAGCTACCGCAAGAGAAAGAACAACTGAGAGAAAGCAGTGGTGTCCCGCTGCCTACCTCACCGCTACCCTACAGCGGTTACAGTAACTTCAGGCCATGCAATCGGAATTTAGAAAGTGCAAAATCTCTCATCATGACTCCGGGCTTTACCCTCTCTCTTTGTAAACTAGCTTGAGCAAAACAATCAAAGTATTCATCTCAGCAGGCAAGAGAGACACACACACACTCTTATAAGATCATCGTCACTTTTTACAAATCATGGCATGTAAATTACATACAACGTCTGAGATTCTTGTGTTAAAACATGTAAGTCCATTTAAAAAGTAAATATTTTATCAATGCATCTTGGAAAGAGGTCCATTGAGCCAAAGTAAACATTAGTAGAAGCCAATGCAAATCCTGAGCAAATTTAACTCTCATTACTTTGCTATGTGCATATACAGTGTTTACACCTGCAGCTTCCTGTTTGTCCAGATTCCACCTGGAAAATAACGTTTCCCATGCTGAAACTACAATAAGCCTTCACGTTTCCAACATCTCTTATACTGTGACAAGAATTAGAAACGGTAATCTTATTTCTGTCAAACAGAAGTTCATATCCACATGTACTCTTATAGGCAGAACACAGATTTGTGAAAAAAAAAAAAAAAAAAAACACACCAGGGTGCCTGATCAGCTCCTTTCATCAACATTTCTTTTGTTATAAAGAAGATTTATACCTCCCCAAACCACATACAGCATTCCATTTTGCAGAGCTAAAAGTCCTTGTTGCCATGGGAACTATAAAAAAAAAAGTCAGTCATGACATAGCAAAGCTATAATAGAAACAAGTCTACTGGGAAATTACCAGTACTCCAGGTTTTCCTATCAGAAATACTTGAGTGTTTTCAACCCGAAAAAAACACTTCCTCAAATCTTACTTCCTAACTCTCCTTCCACACATATTAGCAAATTTTCATTAAGAAGTGCTCATGCCTTATGCTGTAGAAATAATCTATGTAAGAAAAATTGTGTAAAAAATGCATTAAATACAATATAACACCAATTTCAATATATGTCTTTTCCAGACCTACTTGGTACAACACATGCACTAGTTAACAATTTATATTGCTCAGTCCATCTATACATAGGAAAATAAACAGGCTTTTCAAAAAAACTGAGGCTAAGACACTTGGTGAAAAATACACCCCCAAAAAACATTACATGAGACAGACTACATAAAATCAAGATTTATAACACACTTGTTTAAAGCAGTATTTCAAGGTTAGTTATACATGCATTTAGCCTTTGCATCTGTGTTCTCACTGGGTAATACAAATTAAAATTTGATTACTAAAATAGAAGGTCAAACCTTTTGAGAAGGTTGTTGTCACTTCAAAGCAAAGTGAAAAATCAGTGTCCAATTTGGAGTCACGCAACTCCCACTTGAACATAAACAGCTCCCAGAAGTGTGAATGACAAAGGGGAAAAAAACCACACTCATCAAAACATCCATGTAATAACAGAGAATTCATGATATCATCAAACGTACCCTTTTCAGTACCCCACTATAATCTTGTGGAAGTGCTACATTTATTTTGTCTGTCAAAAGTATATGATGATGTAAAATGTCTTGATAACACTGCAAGTACTACACATAAATGCTGTTAAAATTACTGGAGTTCTAGGCCATAAGCTGATCTGTAATACAGCAATAAAATTGGGAAGATCCCTGGATAAGACAGTTTTAAATGCTGCAGAACAGTATCTGCCAAAATTACTTCTGTATGTGTAAGTAGTTTCAATATATTATAAATACATTTTCTTTTAACATCATAACTACTTAAATACTGTACCAGGAGAAACTACTTTAAAAAAGAAACCTTGGAAACTAAGTGCAAGTTTGATCTGCAGAGAGCTTCATGGTAAGACGGCTCTGCAAAAATTAATTAGGAAATAACATTCAACTTTTTTTTTTTTTTTTTAAATCTAGTAACGCTTGTTCAGAGAGCACATTATACAGAACGCAGTACTATTGAAAACAATTAGTTTGGATTAGCTTTTCACTTCATTCCCTAGGCAGATTACTGAGAGAGTAATTTAGGGCAGCTACCTAAAACTTAACTGCATCTGCCTCCAACCTAACACAGAACTGGACAGGTCTCACAAAATGCTTGGACAGATAATCAGAACTGAGGGCGTTCAGAGTAATGGAAGTCACTTCTAAAGGAGACTGATCTTGTCTGGGAATGCAACAGGACTTTTTCATCCATCAAAGCCATAAAATAAACAGGATGATGGTGGCTGAGGGGGGATGATACCTACAACTTTATCAATGCTTTGCAAAAATTGCATATATTTTTTAATTGGACTAAAGAAGTCAAGTAATTTACAACAGTGAAACAGTTTAGTGTGCAATATTTTTCAAAGTAAAATTTTATATTTATAATAGTGTGGCATTATTTATATGACAAGTTTTTGGAATTAGCAAAAATACAAACATCTTAATTTCTTTCCCTCAGAGATGACTGGTGAGGAAGAATGGAGATGGAGTAAGGAAGTAACTAATAAAACACAATAACCAAGTATATTAAAAATAGTAAAAGACACAGAAAAACATTTATTTTTCTAGATGATCTTTCACGTAAAGTTACAGCTATTTGATGAGTCCTTATTTCAGTAATAAGGATGGTCAGCGTTTCTCAGATTCGTATAAACATTGGGCAGATGTCTTTGCCACTGCCAGGCACATGTAACTCTCCTTTTCTCTGACCCATTGTTTCTCTAAATTAGTCACTGCCCACCATCTGTAGAAGATTCTCCGACCCTATTTAGCTTTTTTTAAAAAGAAAACAAACCACAGTTCAGCCCTGTTCTCTCCACTCTCCACTTTGAACCAACAGATCAATGGATGACATCAGTTCTGTAACTGCAGGGTAACATCTGTCTGTGGTTAAAGAGAGCTGCCGCTTCTACTACTGTGCTATCAGTGTCACAAGTACTAAGCTAGCTGTACTCTTGTCTTGTATTTTCTTTATGAAGGTTACTGTTTTGAAATTACAATTCACAATAGTTGATGCATGTTAAACAACTGTAGCATATTATAATTGTGCTGTTATATCCGTTATTCCCCCCCCACACACACACAACACCCAACCATTACTACGGATTTCAGGAAATAAAAGAAAAACCCAACAAAAAATATCTTCCTTCAGAACATCCCCGGATTTAACGATCTCACTGCAAAATCGGGTCGACCAATTCACAGGCATAAGTAAAAGAACAGAGGAAACTGAACGCTCTCTTCATCCTGAAGCAGTACGTGTAATTTTAGCTCTACTAGTCTGTTCCAACCGCTCTCCCCTCAAATAGTTTGTCTTTCTTGTCTTCCTAGACCAGAAGGTGTTTCAAACAAAGAAAAAGCTTACAACTTTCGTTGCTCCAGAATTTGCTGCACTAAGCAGTTTCTGGAGACTTTCTCACATAGAAACCTCAGTAGGAGAAAGAGAAGGAAGGGAGGAAAAACAAAACAAAACAAAACAACCCCGCAAGAGCGCAGCTATTCGAGCTAACTTGAACTAAGCAAGAACTAACACAACCTTGCAGCAGCGAGTGATTTATCCCTAAGAACACAGAGAAAAACCCACAAAACGTTTCCCATTTACTCTGCTATCTCAGGCAGCAGCTGTAGCTGTGTAAGACGTTACCAGCCCCCCTTTCCGCCCCGCCAGCAGCGGCGCGCACCTACCGCGCGCGGTACTCGCG